CAAGTGATCACAAGCATTTAGATAAGATTAGCAGGAGCACATCTGCTATTACTTTTTCAGGAAAAGGAGAGATCATTCTTAGAAGTCTGGTTGGTTCATCTAGTCTACTTGGTTTTTAGTTTAATATGTTCTTGTGCTAATCTTTTTATCATTTCATGGGCCTGGGTAAGCAGCTGCTGCAAGCAAGGTAAATAGAAGAATATGGACTGTAAAGCGCTCTAAAAGCTTGTAGGTTTTAGTCCCAGTGGAGACTGACACTCCAGCCTACTTACTGTAGCTAGGATGTATTGATTTTTTTTCTCCCCCATTTTTAACCGCACCACTGAATTAGGTATTGTGAAGCATTCTTCTTTGTGAAGAGAGGAAAAACTGTCATGAACTTTTTCACCCTCACAGTGCGGCATTTCAAACTAAACTAGACTGAATGGAAAAGGCTTTAAGGACTCTAAGAAACCTTGCAACTTAACTCACTGCACTGACTCTTCTGACTAAAGGGTAGTGCATGGGTTTTGAGAAACTGTGAAAGATGATTGCAAGAAATGAATTTTTAAAACTGTTTTGTTAAAAAAACAAAAATCAATCAGTGAAAACAATGCATTGTTGTAGTGTGATCTCGGAAGGTTAGCAAAGTGGTCCTGTCCAAGTTTTCAGAAAGATGTTCAGTTACTGTTATAATTGGCTGATGAGTAGGTTTGGACCTAACTAGAATGCCAGTGTTCGATTTCACAGTGTCCTCTGTGAAGATATGTCACCATTTATACTGGCTTTAGTGACAATTTTCTAAAAAGGAAACTCGTGGGAAATCATTATGCTGTTTATATGTCTCCCTTGTTGGAGAGCATTATCCTGTGATATTTTAGCACTGTTTTCCACTGCATGATGGCATCTAGCTAAGGTTAAGGCAGAACAAGTCCCTCTGCAATTTTGTGACTATATTTTACTTACTGAAGGAGAAAAGATAACTGACAATTAAGTATTTCGGATGTCACTGAAAGAACATGTGCAACTAATCAATGACATCCTCAGGGAACATGATTTTATAAAGCTGATAAGGTAGAAAAATTGGGATTTTAGCGATTTGTGTTACATAATGATAATTGCACCCTTTCAATAAAAAAGACATTTCTAGTAGTGTAAACACTGGGCTTTTCAGTGTTATAGTCTTTGGGAGCATGCAGTAGTTTATTGGTCATAACTGATAGCAGCTTTTTAAAATTTGTGATCAAAATGTGCTTATGCTTTTTGCTCAGGTAGAATTGAGTAATTTGAAAATATATATTTCTGGAGTTACTTCCAAAACTTTTGCTGTAAGCATTATAATTCTTTTACCATGCTGGAGAAGACAACATATATACTGCATCTGTCCCTTCAATCAGCTAAGCTAGCATGGCACGGGAACCCAGTTTTGGAGCTGTGTTCAGTGGAATCTTGAAAAATTCATAACCATATTGTCAGGGCTTTTTTTTTCTTTGACAGATTTGTTTTGGAGTTTATTGCAGAGATATTATGTGGATGGGAATACTTCTGTTTTTAAAATATGCTGCTACATACTGACTAATAGAAGAACTCGTTTTGTACACATTATTGCTAATTAGAGATGTGGACAAAACGGATTCTTGCTGGTGCTGCTTTTGCCAATCTTGCATTGAAAGGTTAAGGAGCATGTGGTTTGAAAAAATATAATTTTTTAAAATAAGACAATCTAAAATGTACGATCGTATGAGTTATTCCAGGTAAAAACAATTACTTGTCATTGCCACTGCCCTTTATGATTTCAGGTTTGGGGTTTTTTTAATTGAATGACTAAAAACAATGCTGCAACACTTAGAATTGTTACATTTGTCAGTCATTTCTTATCTGTGTTTTGTTTCCTGGTCTCTTCTTCTTTCACCAACCCTTCAGTTTGATGGCACATAAATCAAAGGGGTAAATTCTCAGCTGACTCTATTTTGAAGTCAGTGGAGCTGGGCAAGCTGGCAGAGAATTTGACCCCTAGTTGGTATAATTCTATAGTGTCTCGATTTATTCCTTAATTCCTTAAAATACTTGTATGACATTTGAGAAGGCATTACCTAGAAACTATACTGTAGGTAGAAGAAATTATACCAGTTTTTATTTTTTTCTTGGAGCTGCCTTGCTATACCTCTGACATAAGCTTGCTTTGAAATTGTTAAAAGCACCTGGACAGCCTCTCTTGTTAAATGACATGCCCCTCCCCACTCCAACCACTACTCTCTCCTATATTACACCAGCACCCAACCTTGACAAGTGACTCAAGATGCTCTATATGCATGGGAACTCAGGAACTAGAACCAAGGGAACTTGCCTAAATTATAGATGCCCTGAAGCAGCTCTTAGATGCACCACAATCCTTTTGTGGTGCTAAATTGAGTAAATTGTGTTTTGGTTGCACAAACAGTGCACATTATCATGCGATTCACATACCTTTTGAATATGCATCCCCCCACCCAGCCCTTCTCTCATGTATAACTTCAATGCAAAGCAAGATGAATTTTGCAGCAGCAGAGTGCTGATTCCACAGAATGTAAATGAAATGGCATTTAATGCAGCATCTTCATTTAAAGATGAACTGAGAGGCTGTGTACCTGGCAAGATTTCAGAGCCATATGAAGAGTCTTACTGTCCTGTAAGACTGTCACCAAAAACATACACAGTAAAACTGTTCAAGAGCTGTGCTCCTGGTTTGATTTTTGTGTGCGCATGTGTACATGTGCATGTTAGTAATGACATCACCTTTTGCTAGGGAAGTATAAAACCCTGAACTGAAGATTTGGAAGACAAGTGAAAAGGAAATTGATTTGCACGTGTTTTCTTTTGAACTTAATTTTTGTTTTTAAGTCCATCCTTATTTTCTGGGCATAAATATGACTGCTAACTTCTTATTAGTTACATAAATGTTTATTTGCTGTTGATCTCACATACCGCTGCATCACTTTAACTAAAGAGATGAAATGGTTTTTCATTTTCCTTTTATTTTTATTTCTAAGTTTAAAAGAAGACATAAAATAGGAATAAGCTCCTGCATGAGCTGGTATGGCGTGATGTTCCCTCCTATGGCCTTGCTTCTTGTTTTCTCACCCTGTGATTTATTGTTGTTTTCCTAACCTAGGTCCTGATCTTGCAAGCCCAACATATGCATAAGTAACACTACTTGTGAGGGTTGTTTCCTTTAGGGCATGAGCAGGTGTACATTTGAAGCACTTCCAAAAGGGGAATGTTACAAATGGAGACTGCTAATCTGGAGTGTGCAGTATCTGTTAAGTGTAGACAAGCCAAGTGATAGATACAGTGTAGCAAAATTGCTCCGTCTTTAACCCCTAATGAAGCAATGTTGAAGTGGATTTTGCTACATTTATATCATTCCTGGCTTGTCCACATGTAACTGTTAGACTGTAACAGCTAGCCACTGCCTGGTTCAAAGCAAGAGTCTTCCCTCCCCTTTTGAATTGGCTCCAAATGTATGTGCATCTGTACCCTTAGGCAAGCATAACTAAGGCAAGTCAAGTTATTCATCTACATATGAAGCTGTAGAATAAGGCCTCTAGGACAGGGGTGCTCAACCTCTATCCTGATTCTGCGGAGTCAAGTTATCCTGTCCAGAGGGTTACACCAGGTCTGGAAATTTGGCAGCAGGGGAGCAGTAGTAGCATTAATTGCTCCCTAAGCTGCGTCAATTAATGCTTCTACTGCTCCCCCACTGCCAAATCTCCAGACCCGTGGAGAGCACCATGGTCCAAGTGACCTGGCCCTGTGCCCTGGATTGCCCCTGTGCGTGGTCAGGCTGACATGCCGGGTGGGGCAGGTGCCTAGAGTCACATTGCAGGCAGATCCAGCATGCAGGGTCAAGCCAACGCATTGGATCACACCTGTGGACTGAAGCCACACACTGCCCCTACACACTAGATCTAGCCCACAGACAGACCCTATGCCACTCATAGGTTGAGCACCACTGCTGTAAGATGAAGAATTGCTCAGAGAAACAACTCTGCTTTTTGTCTCTTCTCTGGCTGTGTATGTGCACGTACACAAAGTGACAAGTTGAGATTGCACTGGTATGTGTGACCTGAACAGTGCCTTAATCCTCCAGGAAGGTGTTGCATGCACTTATAAACCATTTTGTCTTAAAAGAAAAATGTAGAGTAATTACTGAGTGTGCCCTACATGCCGCTAAAACATTGAGGAAATCTTTCACGTTCTTAAAAAATATCTATATCTAGTTGAAAGTGTATCAAAAATCCCATTCCCCATTTTCTGTTGCATCTACTGTTAATTAATTTACTAATCTATTAATAAAATTAGAGATCATTTGTTCAGTGAAAAACAAATTTACCAGAATGGGATTCTAGCACTTGCTGTATTGTTAGAGAACAGTGTGGCACACAGTTCTTAGGCCAGGTCTTTGGCATTAGTGATCACAATATAGATATGAACAGTGCATTGTAAGCTGATCTGTCAAGCCAAACAAACAACTCACCTTGTTAACATTGCCTAAATTGTGCATTAACAAAATTGAGTAGGCCCTTGAACACACAGGAGACTTCATTTTTCCTACTGCCATGATGGATGGGATTCTTTCAGCTGCTAGAAATGAAGCATAACCTGCTGTTTGCTTTATTTCAAAGGAGCAACAAAAACAAAATTATATTTCTGAATGAATGTGCCAGTAGTGAAATTTCAAACTTCTAGTAGACATTTAGTGGAATTGATAACTTCATCACAGAAAGACCTTCTTAGTGATCTCCAGTTATCTAAGGGTTTAGAAGCAGAGACTGTGAAACTGGAAGATGTTTGCTGCAGCAAAATTATGAAACTGATGAAGAACTGTATTTTGTGTAGATATTGTAATTACCAAGTGATAAGTAAAAAGAATGAGAGAGAAATTTGAATAACTTTAGCAGATGGGAGATGCTTTTGGCAGTTTGGACAATCATATAATTTGTGAGTGACCTTGATTATGCTGTATATTTTCTATGTTGCAGACCATAATTTTAGAAAACGAAGACCTTCCCAAAATATTGCTTGACTTCCTCAATGTTCGTCACGTGCCTTCTCTGCCAAAGGCAGAAAGTTGTGGGTAAGAACTCAAGCTCTAATAAACAGAAAAACATCTAGGACTGTGGGTCTCTCTTTTTTTTTAAATCTGTACTTATGTAACTACACTGACTTAAAATGAACTTGGTGTTAATCTATACCATTATAATTAAAAGGAGAATCAGGTTCTTGGATTTGAGTGTATCTACATGGCTGGAAAAAGCTGATAAAACAAAATTCAGCCTGTACAAAGACAGAGATGTGGCATTTTATTGCATATCCTTTGAAAGCAAAGGGAATAACAGGTGTAGATGAGATTAATAGAAAACATGGGATTTTTAAACGATCTTTTGAAATTCCTTTCACCAGGTGTTTCAAAGAAATTGACACAAAACATCCAGTGCACTGTGACCTCATCTGTGTGTGCTTGTTTTACGTTTCTTAACTTGTGGAACAGCTGGAATATGCTTTTGTTTACATGGGGGCTTGCATCTCTGCATGGCTTGCACTCCCCCAATCTCCTAATGAGGGAATGTCTTTAGTCATCTCTATGGTGGCAACTTCATCACTGGCCATGGTAAGGAAGGCCTTACCTGGCTTGATCTTGGGAGAAAGAGACAGTGAACGGAAGGCAGGAGAGTGCACATTGGCAGCCTCCCTTACGTAGAGCATAGAGACTGTGTAACATTTTAAGATCTTAGGCCCCTGCCATACATTACATATATTACACAATTAACTTGTTAATTGTGCAATACATTGAGACTGGCCACACATACACAGTAATTATCGTGCCATAAAAATGTCCATCCAGCTATTATATTAAGTTTAATGTAATAAAAGCCAACCAGCTACAATGTTATTACTTGAAAATGTGTAACAACTTTTATAGCTGGTTTCCAGCTTTAATTAGATTGTGTGGCAGGGACCTCTGGCTATGATTCTCTGCTATGCCTCAAAGAGGCCCAGTACAGAAATCACAACTCAGAAGAGAGGGGAGGGCTAAGGAGACTTTAAGCCATGGTTATGCTTAAAGTCTTCTCCAGCACCTGTCTAAGGGCAGAGAAATCCCTGGAGTAAATTAGACAGATCTGTGGGCATACCTGATTTCCAGCAGCATCGTCTGGCTGCCCACAGGAATTTGTGCAGGCCTCAGCTTCTGAACGCTCCTGTCCTG